CAGATAGCAGGGAGAAATTCCACGAAGCGTGGACGGGATAAGTTATCCTCGCGTTTCAGGATACGCGTCGACATTATTTCGTATCTTGCAGGACACTTCGGCCAATGAGGATGTCCTGCCCGCTACGCTACCGGAATTCATAACGAGGTCTTATCTCTCTTTCTCTCCCTCTCTCTCCCTCTCTTTCTCTCTCTCTCTCTCTCTCTCTCTCTCTCTCTCTCTCTCTCTCTCTCTTTCTGCCTCTTCGTCTCTTTCACGATTTATACTTCTTTTCATTCCTCTATATCTTTTCCCTTCCTCCCGCCCTCGCTTCCTTCCTCCCTTCCTTCCTTCCTTCCTTCCTTCCTTCCTTCCTTCCTTCCTTCCTTCCTTCCTTCCTTCCTTCCTTCCTTCCTTCCTTCCTTCCTTCCTTCCTTCCTTCCATCACACTCTGCTACTTCATCTTTCCTCCCTCTTCCCACCTACTCTTTCTTTCTCATGTTCGCACACACGGTCAGGTAATATCACGCGATTCTTTCTTGGAATGGAGCCCGGCTCTTAGTCTTCTCTTCACGGTTGTCGACTTCTACTTTTTAAAACTTCTATGGTATATCCACGAACTGGACACATTTGCAATTTCAAAAGTCTAAATCTCTCGACATATTTTTCAAAATTTTAAAATATCTCCTTTATCGATATTATCGTCTTTTGTCTCTGTATGATATTAATTATTGATATATCGAATGAATCAAAATATTATCAATCGATAAATATTTGATAAATAATAATCTTTTGCCGATTAATTAAAAATATTACATTTGAAAGCAAACATATAGAATTCTATATAAACATGTTAAACATTTCGACCGGTGTACTTTTGATAGCGCGTAAGGCACGTCGTGCTCGCTAATAACAAATCTAGCAGCGGTGATTACACGCTGTGATTTCGCTGAGAATTGGACGAGTGATTAATTCTCGCGGGCAATCCCATCCTTGCCCCAAAATGTCCCTTTCACCTCTCTCTCTCTCTCTCTCTCTCTCTCTCTCTCTCTCTTTCTATCTATCTATCTATTTCTCTTTCTCTCTCATACACGTTCCCTATGCGGATTTGTCGGACGAGCCACTCACAGCAAAGATATTTTAATTCCGAAGCGCCGGCGAAGCCGTTTGGAATGGTTATTAATTCGTGCGTCGAGAACGGAGGGTGTGGACAGTATAGGAAGAAGGGGAAGAACGAAAGGAGAAAGAGAGGGAGAGAGAGAGAAAGAGAGGATAGCTCTAGAGAAAGAAAAAAGAGAGAGAAAGAGAGAAAGGTAACGTTCGTAAAAACAGCCCCATTGTTATCGCTGTCCCGCGGCTCGTTTCGCAGTGGGCGGCACTCAAATGAAGAGTGAGAGAGAAAGAAGAGAAGTTTCGTGTAAACGCGTCTGCTTGCTCGACACATATACATATACACGATATATGTATATCTGTGTTCAGATTTTACTAACGACAAAAGAGTAGAAGCGAGGACGATTCTTTTACATTGATTAATGCATCTCATGAATGAATGGTATACACCATGGATGATGAGCCACCCACTCACCCCTTTGAAACGTTTCTCTTGCTACCCTTCTTCTCTTTCCATGCCGTCTATTCGCTCATCCATCCGTCTTCGTCCCTCTCTTACCAAAACATTTTCCATCTCCTTTTATCTCTTTCTTCTTCCTTTCTTCTCTTTACTCGACGGTAGTAACTCGTTTCGCGAGGACGGACTCATCTCCGATTTTATGCCTCGTTTGAAGGCTCATCCCTCTTCTCTACCCCCCCCCCCTCTATCATCTTCTACCTAACTCTACATCTTCCCTTCTCATTCTCCAGTTGACTCGACGACGATTTCATCCCTTCCTTAATGTACCTACCCAAATTCGGATACCACGTATCCGTGAATTTCTCTATAGAGAGAAACGTTTTATATACTATTTAAATAAGCTCGTGAACACGTGAACATTATGTTTAAATCTTGCTCTTTCTTAATATTTGATAGATATAAGTGACAGATATTAAGATGCTCGAAATAAGTCCTCGCCTTCGTTAAAATTCCAAGATATATCTTTCTTTCTCTTTTATTACCTGAACAATGATCTTTATAGTGAGAAAGGTCGGTCGAGATAAGAAAGGAACGTAATTCTCTCGGCATAATTAATTTCTACAATCAACGTCCATGTTCTCTTCATTTACACGTAGACAAAATCTAAACGAAGGATATCTTATGTTTTATCTAATCTGACGAATTAAAAATTTCGTATTACGAAGATTATTGTATATAATAGAATTAATGAAGAAAAAAAAAAAAAAAAAAGAAAAAAAATAAAGCTTTTCCCGATAATAAAATTGAATCACACATTTTTAGATGAACTTTGTATTCAATGAAAATATGTATCTATATAAAAAGACATTGTTAAAACTATACCTGGGGTTACCGATAACGGAAGTCCTTGAAATAAAGTTAACGACAAGAGAAGAACGGCCAAGTCAATATTGTCCTCTTGCACTATAAGACGAGTTAAAGTACACCCTGGGAGCAGCACAGAACGCAAGAGAACTTTCTATATCTCGATGCGTAGTTTCGAACAAAGTTGACAGAATCTAAGTCGAAGTTGCACAGTCCCCCTTCGACGTTTCCTACATCGTAGAAATAAATACGGCCACCGTTGGCCCCGTATCTTCGTATACCACCGTGGCTTCGTATCAAGAGTCGCTGGATAAAGCGAGAAATAGAACCGGGAAGAAAAGACTGCTATAATACATTGACTAATGCCATCTTAAATAATGTCTGGTGTACATTCAACTCGAGTTTTATTTATTTCTATTAGAAATTTACAAGAGAGAATAAAAAAAAAAAAAAGATAATAACAAAGTAATAATTTATTATAATACACGTGAAAGTGATTAATGGAGTATAAAATATTTGAAAAATTTTCCTAACATCACAATGATCCTTTAATTATTTATTAATATGTAATTATTAATCTTATCATTGATCTAAGTTATATCCATAAAAAAAAAAGAAATATAAATGTCAGATTCGTATCAAAAAGATACCTTTAAAATCCTAAAGGCAATAGATCATATTTTCCTATCCAAGAAGATCGGTGTCATATTTCGAATCATCGTTCGTTCCATCGATCACGTAAATCGATAACACCTTTAAAGACATTTTTCTACTGGAACCAATTTCCTTCCCGACGAAACAGATTTGCGATAAGAAAATCTGATCCGATTTATCTACATTCGTCCGTGCTTCACTTCTGACTAGATATTTTCAAAGTTTCCTTTCTTGTTTTCTTATTCTGTTTCTATAACTTTTAACAAAACTCTCTCTCTCTCTCTCTCTCTCTCTCTCTCTATCTATCTATCTATCTATCTATCTATCTCTCACTCGTCGACAATCGTTTAATCTTACCTATCGATATTCAAAAGAATATATAAATTGGATTAACCTACGCAATATGTATGTAAAGGCCACTGACAATACACTACGTGTTTGTTTATTAATGAGGCAGTAAATCTTCGTCGAATTAATTTGAAAGAAAGAGAGAGAGAGAGAGAGAGAGAGAAAATAAAAAGAAAGAAAGAAAAGTAAGTATAGTGAGACTAGTATAGACGCCCGCATGTGTCGACCTAGACGTTCCTTTTTTACATCGGCTATTCAACGCGTATGATATACAACAAACGTATCGTTTATGTCTCGTATTAACGCTCTTTATGAACTAATAATTCTTAATAAGTCGCTTCGCTATCTATAACGTTCTCCATTTAAATCTTTGAAAATAAACACGAGATTAATTTGAACGTTCTTATATTATCATTTTCATTCATACGAAGAAGCATGAATATGTGAATTATTTTCGATTTAAAGTCATATTTTCAAAACATCGAATGAAATGGTTAATGCGTGGAAAGAGGTTTTTATGATTACTCGAAAGTAAATGAACGGATCCATTAAAAGCATTATGCAATTGATACGATTTCAATGGAAACGTTTTTCCTCTTTCCGGATGTTATAAAAATAAGGAGAGTGTAGTGATATGCTTCGACTGTCGATATAACCAACAACGAGGTAGCGAGCTTCAACAAGACGGAAATGGTCTTTCTATTCCTTCCTTCGTATTTCCTTATCGCGACGCAATACATTCTTACATACGTTGATTTCTGAGAATCGAATTCCGAAGGTACCGCTTTTTATTCTCGATACCCTTTCCCCGTCCCTTTTATGTCTCGATATTTTTACTTTTACGATAGTACAGAGTTCCGGGAGAACGCAAAGAAAATCAAATCTAATGTCCGCCGATGCTCTCGAAGTAGTCGTAAAGTTTCTGAAAGCTTTTGCGATAAAAGTAAGAAAATCTGCCGATTAACCTTTTTTTTTTCTTTTTTTTCTTTTTTTCTTTTTCTTCTTAGGGATACGACATTGAAAATTTCGTTACCAGAAATAGGTAGATATATTCAACGTAATCGATACAAATGGTATTGCGATGATAGAAATTAATTGAAGTCACATAGTCATTCGAAAACTCGGTTCGATGAACGTTCCGCTTCTTTTTCTTGCTTTTTTTTCCTTTTTTTTTTTTTTTTTTTTTTTTTAAGACCATTGACACTTTGCCAAGATAACAGAGATACGATAAAATTTTCCTATTATGTACTTAAAATGAAATGTCAAGTTCGATTGTAGGACTATTTACAATGTTTACAAATTAAAAATATTTTGTTATTGAATCTTCTTGTACATATAAACATAACACATGTTAGAGATCACATCGATGTTAAATAATACATTTTCGAATAAATTAGTCCTTTATATATACTCTTATCGGCAATTTTAATTGTTGATAATATACTGTCTCTGTCAGAAAAAAAGAAAAAAAAAAGAAAAAAAGAGAAAAAAAAGAAAAGAAAAAAAAAAAAGAAAAAATAAATGAAGAAAAAATTAAGACAAGAGACAAAGAGACAGAAAAACGAAAGAATTTCAAAGTACTTACTTTTCCAAGTAGAACGCAGATTTCAATAAAGAAGTAGTCTTGATGTCTCTTAAACGAAGAAATAAAGCCAGAGCCTCTTTTTCTCTTTTCTCAACAGGACGACGAAGAGAAAGCAAGCACGATCGTCGTAAAAAAAAAAAAACACGAAGCACAGTAAATATCCTTTATAAGGTCACGTGACACACTAGTAGAAACTAACCGGAACCACGAATCTCTATATTTCTATTTCCTTCCTCAGCCTTTCTCTATCTCTTTTTCCTCTCTTTCCTCTCTTTCACCCCTTTATACATTCGCCCGAACTTCGTTTTCCTTCGTCGCCCTTCGTAGTCGCTCGAACAAAAAAACCTTCGACACTTTCAGTCGTTTCTCCTTCTCTTTCTCACTCTTTCTCTCTCATCTCTCTCTCTCTCTCTCTCCCTCTCTCTTTCTCTCTCTCTCTCTCTCTCTCTTTCTCTCACGGTAATAACTCTTCAACCTTTATTCTTTTCATCATCCTTTCTTCAATTCTTGAAATTATACTTGGAACCCGTTTTGCCCGTCGTCTTTCACGGTATAATAATAAATCGTAAAAAATCAAAGATGGACGTCGTAGTTGAATATCCGTCGCACTGTCAAAAAAAATTCAAGAGGGAAAATAAGATATTAGATCTCTGACATCTTCGAAAGAAGGATTTGTGTATGAAAGATATAAAAAGAAGAAAAGAAAAGAACAAAACAAAGAAAAAAAAAGAAAGGAAAAGAGATAGGGAAAATATATAGAAAGAGGAAAGTAAATTGTGAAAAAGAGAGAAAAACGGACAAGGAGAGAAGGAGGGTATAAAGAGAGATGGATGTATAATATACGCGGGGAAACGAGCGAGGCGACAGTCGCGTGGTATCGATTCGTGGTCGTGGAAAGCCGGCGGAGGCAGCCAAGAGAGCGAGAACGAGAGCGAGAAAGAGAAAGAAAGAGAGAGAGAGAGAGAGAGAGAGATAGCTTTTTCTTCGTTTTCCCTCCCCCTTCTCGAGCAACGATCTTTTATCTTCGTCTCTCTCTCTCTCTCTCTCTCTCTCTTTCTCTCCTTTATCTATCTCTCTTTCTGTTTCACACACGCATACACATTCACTCACACATACACACACGCACAGGCGCGCGTACATACACACACGCAAACACACATACACACACACATACACACACACACACCTTAAAACTTCTTCGTCCCTCGATGCACCTTTTCTCTCTCGAGCAACCTACTCTCGCTCGTCCGTTCTGTTACTGGTCTGTTCTATCACACTCCGAATACGAAATTTTCTTTCTCCCTTTTCCTTTCCTCAAAAAATATTCGAGTCCTCTTAAATATTATTATATCCTTTGAGATAAACGAGAGGAGAAAAAGTCACGCGAGTCGTTTGGCGCTTCCCGCGAGGGATGTAAACGATAATGTAAACGAACGACGACGATGATCTTTGTTGTTTTTCCTTTCTTCTCGTCGATTTGAGGGGAGGGCGAGAAAAAAAAAAAAGAGGAAAAATCTCTGCGATCGTTTTCAAGGAAAACGTGGACGACGAGAATCGTTCGTTCGATTGTCCTATAACGAGGATTGTTATATTATTTGAAGACGAGAGCAACGTGCGCGAACAACACCGGTGCGTCCTTGCGTGCGTACGTGCCGGCGGCGAAAAAGCGACAGACACATCTCCCACGGACGTCCGGGTCGGACTGAGCGCTCGAATCGCGCCGAAGAAGCACGGAGCTGTCCGAGCTACCGGTTACCCCCACCGTCGCACCCTCTCGCGCCGCCGCTACGCTCTCTCCACCGCGCCAAGCTGAAACACGCTTCGGCTCGCTTCCACCACCCTACTAACCGTACTTTCCTCTTTCTCTCTATCTCTATCCTCACTCTCTCTCTTTCTCTCTCTCTCTCTCTCACCCTTTCCTTCCTTTTACCCCTTACTTCCATCCCTCAAACACCAGCAACCCTACCACCACTAGCATCCTCGTCTACGCCTCGACATCTACTTGGTATCTGCTTCTCTTGCTACCCTTCGTGCCGATCGCCTCTTCTTCACCCTCTCGCCCTCATCCCTCCCCTACTCTCTTTCTCTTTCTCTCTCTCTCTCTCTCTACCTCTCTCTCTCTCTCTCTCTCTCTCTCTCTCTCTAAACCACCCCCAAAACGCCAGTCGGCCGAGGATTTAAGGCCCGTTCTCTCTCTACGCGGTGTTGCCAATTTAGCGGGAACGCCGCTCTTGACAGTGGATCAATCTTTTCGTTGATTTCGTTTTCCTGCAACACCTCTTCTACTTTTTCCATTGGTCTTTAAATAAATGCAAACTTCGATGCTATCGTAATATTTTTCAGATAATCTTTCTTTTCTTTTAGTTAGAAAAGAAGATTTGTTTCTAGACTGGCAGCCTAGTTCTTGATAGAAGGATCTAAGTATCACGTGCACAAAGACGACGATGATGACGATGATAACGATGATCTATTCAACGCATACACATAAATAGATGAGAATATATTTTATAATAATATTATTTTATAGATATATCATATCAGTTTACGTTTTTAGTCTTCTTCATTTCGATTATACATTTTTGACTCTCAATTTGACTATCATCGAATGGTAATAATTTTGATAAAAAAAAAATTAAAAAAAAAAAAAAAAAAAAAAGAAAATAAAAAAAAGAAAAAAAAGAGAGAAATAGTCGATTTGATAAAGAATACAAATTATTCATGTAAATTATTTAACGAAAGAAAATCGACGCCTCGTTATTTTCATTGCTCTCGAATGGCTCGACAATACGTGTTCTCTACAAAATACCCGCACGAATCGAACATCGAAGATATTCTAACAACGAGCTCGCGTTTCATCGTAGCAAGCAGGTAAACGTGTCGGGTTTTAAAAACCACGAGCGATTTGATGCATCGCAAAGCTCGTGCAAAGCTATACTTTAAATACGTACCGATCGATTTTCAACGTTATTTGTAATTTATACAGTGGCGCGCGGATTTCCAAGTATCAGCGTTTCGCTGTCGAAATCCGTTCTCACGTTTAGAGTTTTAACTTGTAATTAATTGTACGATACATTACGTGGCATAATATATGTAATTTGTAATGCACACATTCGTAATGGGTAACACGATATCGTTCCCTGTTCAAGCGTTCGGGATGACTGTCGATTACTCGATTTATTTCGACGTAGGAGGATACTCAAACGGTTCGCGGAGGAAAGAGCGAATTGCGTATATCGTAACGAACTGATTTACAACGCGGAAAACGATAAATATTTAACTGCATGAAATACAGGAGCTCGAGTGTAACATATAAAATGCGCGTATCACCATAAGATGAATTTTTCTATTGAATCGTTCAACAGTTATTTTTATCGAACATTCCAAACTCTAACGATCCTATTTTTTAACCAATTTTTTTTGTTATATCCAAGCTGTTTAATTTAATTGTAAATTCGAGTATAATACATACGTACATATATTCGTTACATCGACGAGGCAAGGGCCACTAATTTTTTGACTGGAAGAATTCATTGAAATAACAAAAAAAAAAAAAAGAAAAAAAAAAAAAAAAAAAAAAAAAGAAAATAAAAAAGAAAAAAAAAGCAACAGGAAAAAAGCGACGTGAAAAATAAACTCTCGGTGTCGTAATTCCGTTCGTGGATGAGAATAAAACTGGACGAATCGAGAGGAAACGAATGAATCAATACCGTACCTACTATCGCGAAAAGCGACGTGATTTGAAAGGAGGCCCGAAGGTTCTTCGCAAAGCTCGTCTGGATCACAAAAGAAGTACGAGTCTTTCTTTAGAAGAAGGAGAAGAAGGAGAAGAAGAAAGAGAAAAAGAAAAAGAAGAAGAAGAAGAGGAGGAGGAAGAAAAAAGAGAAGAAGAAGAAGAAGAAAAGGCAAAAAAGAAAAAAGAGAAAGATAAAAGGAAAAAGAGAAATGAAGAAGAGAGAAAAGGGTGTACGACTGCCGACACGAACCATTTCGAGTTATTTCATCAACGGCCACCTTTATCGGTCGTAGAATCGGTGTATCTACCTTGGGGCCTGATCCTATCATCGATTCATCCGAAGTGGGTTAACTAGCTTGAGAGTGACGTAAAAATGGATTAATGCGTGTTGAAAGGAATGTCTCTCATTAGAGTAATATGAAAATTATTAGAGACTCCTGCGAGTTTGAAGGAATGGTAATTTGTGATCGAGATGGATATCTAAAGATATCTGTATCTACAAAAGAAATGAAAAAGAAAAAGGGGGAAAAAAGAAGATTAGAATTCCCAAATCGATGTCAACGTCAATGATCCGTCAACGTTTTCATTATTAATTGTTCGCTCGGGACAAAGTCGAATCGAATAGTATAGCATACACACACACACACACAGACACAGTTATATATGTGTATGTCTGTATATATATAGATATATATATATATATATATCATCGTAGCGACCTTCTTTCATTTTACCTCGAAGCATCTGCCACGAATCGCAAAATTATAGTCCATTCTCGGCATACCTTCTCGCTAGATATCTATACCAACGTGAGATTCGCTTTCTTACGGTAACTTTTCTTGCTCTCTCGTTTCTCGTTCAGACGCTTTTTGATAGTTCTCCCTGAGAAGAAATAACTTAGATATTATTGGTCGATCCTTGACGTTCTAAGAGTTACCGCAAAATGCCGATGACATGTCTCGTTATTAGGATTTTTATTTCCTTTCCATCATTTTATTACCTATTGTATTTCGATGGAAAACCAAAGTGATTCGAAATGTTTCAGTTGTATATGCCAGGCAAATTGTATATGAGGCATGAATAAAAGAAATGAAAAAGGCAAATGGAGGAGAATCGAGGAAAGAAAAGTTAGAATGGAAAGGAGAAAAGAAAAAGCTGAAGAAAATATTGAAAATAGTATGAACGTATCCAAGAGAAAAGAGAGATGAGTGTGATAAAACTTTTAGATAAAGAACGAAGTCTCTCTCTCTCTCTCTCTCTCTCTCTCTCTTTTTCTTATTTTCGTCTTTTCACAAAGAGATTTGTATCTCTATGACGTAGCATCAACGTCTTTTTTATATCATTTGTCATTTTAATAATATAAGTATTCAGTCGAATTTGTTCTTCTTTAGTAAACAAGAGTTAAGAAAATAATGAAAATGTTGTTTTTTAATCTTTTCTCAAATATCACGTCACTGATAAATAAATATTAATCAATTTGAAACATATAGCATGTGTACATCGAATACATTTTTCTTTCCTAAAGATTTTCTTAAATGATAAACTTTTTTTTTCATATCTTCTGATATGAAAATGGCTTAGGAATGACCGGTCGACTTTTTTTTCACGTAGTTCTCCGAATTCAGGAAAACGAGGAAGATACTCACTGGTGAGAGTATCACCGAAAGTCCAGAGACGATGCTATTCAGGCAGAAAGATCGAAATTAAAAAATGGTAATCCAATCGTTTCTACGGCAGATCGAAGCTTCCTCGTAGATACGCGAAAGCTCATAATAAAGTACCTCATCACCAGTATTTTTTCCGATTCTCGTCGAGTAATCCTTCTCGATGCTTTTTAATGACTGTAGCACTCTTTTTATCAATTTTTTTTTTCTGAAAGAATTCAATGAAAATGGAACATGAGATATGAAAGACAAGTATTATGATAATTCATATCTAAAACCTAATATTTCCATCTTTATCTCATTTCATCTTGTTAATTGTCATATATGTTGATTCATGAAAATTATGCTTAAATATAGTGTGAATGTCCGAGGATTAATTGATGAACAGTTGTATGTATTTAGTGTAACGTAATATAAAATTGAAAAAGTCCATATTAAAATGTCTTTTTATTTACATATTACATAGTTAAATTTGAAGCTCTTTTCGTAAGCTAGACGATGTCGAAATAATCCAAGTAAAGTACATTAACATTCTCTATTAACAGATTCCCTTAGGATCGGCTTTGTCGAAAGTCTCTCTCTCTCTCTCTCTCTCTCTCTTTGGTTTTAGAGACATGACAGCAATGTCGCATATGCGTAATGTCAGATTGCCTGGACAAACGGCGCATCGTACATTTGCAACACATGCTCACACGATTGCATCAAATCGGAGATAATTAAACCGAAGATTATGCGGGATTGGATTATAATGCTTCCTCTAGTATTTAGCATTACTAAACAGTCTCAAAGTGATTTCGTCCAATCTGTTCCTTCTATATGTTTTTACCTATATTTGAAATAAAAGTATTATACGTCCTATTAACTTCAATTATCAATGAATTTCTTAACTTATACATTTGATTAACGACTAGATACATTTTTCGTTTTGTAATTGAATATAAAAAAGGATTAATATTTTTCTCTTTTAAATTTAATACAATCCAAATTCAATAAAATTCATTGCGATATTAAAAAGAATCAATAAATAAAAAAAGAAAAACAAAAAAAAAACAAAAAAAAAACAAAAAAGAAGCAATAAAAGAAAATCAAAGAAAAAAAAAAGAAAAAATAAACAAAAAAGAAGCAATAAAAGAAAATGAAAAAAAAAAAAGAAGAAGAAATAAACAAATACAATTATAAACGAGGAAAGACGTGTCTGATTTGAAATCGATCGACTAGGAAAGAAACACTATGAGACATCAAGGTGAATTCAAGCAGAGTCCAGTTTATTCAGGAAGAGCGAAGGTTTTCGGT